GAAGGACCTCTCCTACAACTTAGAGCCCTCACCACAAAGCCTTTTGCCAAAGGGCCATAATGGCCCGCACTCAAGAATTCAACCTAAAACACCAGGTAGCCCATACAACTTTCACTACAGAACTGAACGTCAATCACACGGTGTGAGTGCTCACAGAACATCCACAGCAGGATTTCTGTGGCCTCAACCACACTGTCTATGCCACCCCCATCACAGGTCACACAGGGCTCATATAACCACCACCGTCATGGACCTGGAAATATATAGAAATTAGTCACAGAGAGAGCCATTCAGGAAGTATTTTTATTCTGTTCTTGTTTTATGTTTGATTACTAATTTTTAGAACTATAAAAGCTGTATCTGGAAAAACGTTTGAGGTGGAAACAAGTAAAAAAAAAAAAAGAATAGCCCATAGGTGCTTTCACATGAGAAATTTAAGTGAGTCAGTTCTTGTATCCAGACATACCCCTGTTATGTCAGCAACAATAACAATAACAATTAATCTCTGATGAATGAGTGTGTTTTGCTTCTCTCTCAATATGCTAGAAAAGAAACATATACCTCTCTCTCTCTCTTAATGAATTCCATTTGACGAATTCCATTTGACCTGCATCCAGTAAACTAGTTCACTCAAGATGATATACCATTTAGATGTGCTGCAGTATGGATTTTTTTCATTGAAAAATTTTTCAGTGTGGCCCAATGTGGCTTCAAAACACCACATCAAGACTATCCCTGACTATATCTGAGTGTATATGGTCTGACTGACCTGGACCTGACCGAATAAACTGCTCTTAATGTTTCTCATAGAAAAGCTCATCTGACGCAGCATACACCAACTCCACTCAGTTTGCCTTAAAACACTGTAAAGGAGAGAAATGTGAAAGTAAGCTCTATAAGCCGAAAGAAACACCAAAGAGGCTTAGAACTTTATCTGGACCACAGTTCCGTGTATATGTACAGTATATGTATATTAAACAGATCGTCCAGCAGAGGATAAATGTCCTTTGTTATAAACAGTGACATGTAAGACTACTCTTGACTATTTAGGTCACCCAAAAATGGGCAAGTAGTATTTGTTTGTGCTGCTGGTCTTCAGAGAGTAAGGATCATTTTAAAATGAACAGAGACTACATAAATATGCATTTTGAGAGAAGCACTCCTTATTTCTTACTCCATCCATTCATAAAAATGTGACAACTATGTCATCCCTTCACCATCCTAGGAAAAAGAAAACACCTTGCAGAACACTGTAGCTACTGAATGATGCACATCAGATGGATTTAATAGTGGGTATACCTTATGCTGACTGGAACTTAAGCAAGTATACTTTGTATACCCGCACTACACAATTGTACAAAACCAATATAAGCACTTGAGTCCTGTGCCTTAAGCCCTCTTTAATAAGATAGCCAACACAAAACTCTTTGTTTTTACTATATGGACACATTATTCATTCAAATTCATTACATTTTCATCACACTCATTTGCTATTCAACAATTTTTGACTTTCGTTGTAATGATTAAAAGAATCATCTTTACTCATACAACACAAAAAGATCAGCTTTTTGATTTTTTAAATGGTGTGTTATCGTTGTGTTGTGTTGTCATTTTCTGTTTTTATAGCAGTCCATGTTCTGGTGCAGCCTACAATATGAGAAACATACCTGCCATGGACTAATTATAATGCTTTCATTACACTATTCCTGCCCGAATAAATAAATGAAAAACACAAGCTCCCACCCATAAAGACATGGGAAGATTTTCTACCAATGATTTCAGTCTTGGTTTACAGGGTGACTCACTCCTTATTTTGTGTACAAAGTATAAAGACACACAAGAAGGATTCACTGTTTCAGAGTTCAGTTCACTGATTCACTGCTCACTGTGCTACCTCAGCCAGCCACCATGTGACCAGCTGCCCATGACCTGCAGTGTACGTCACACAGACAGTTCCCGACTAAAACAGGAAACTACTCAGCACAAACTCAGTTCCACCAAGAGGGAGCAAAGAGAAGCAGTGCTCTCAAAATGACCAGCATCCATAAAGGTAAATTTCAATTTGGATTCTTTTAAAAACATTTTACTCTTTAAAAAGTAAATGTTGTAAGTGAAAGAGGGAATCAAAGCAGTCGGATTAAAGTTTATCCCACTTTATCCCACCTAATATGGACGATGTATGCCTGATTATTTCTGTCCCTGTGACTGTCTGTATCATTTTCCCAGTCTATGTATTGCCAGTGAAGCAAACCTGTTTTCTCCTAAGAAGTTACTGAGATGTGTTAAACGTCAAAGAGGCCATGCTGCCCCGTATATCCCTTTGATGTCATCTGTATCACCTGCTCTACACAGTGTGTGTCTATGTGCATCTGTGTGTGCACTCGTGTGTGCATGCTCCGAATTTGTCCAGCATGACGGCATCCTCTGGCGACCAAGTAAACAGTCTATTATAGCGTTATCGCCCTCACATCTACAGACACTTAGTGTGTTCACAGGAGCTATAAAATCTATTAATGACAGGGCATCCTGGGGATAAAGAAAGAAAGGGTATGCAGAGCTTAGCCCTGTAGGGGCCAACCATGAGGTAACTTAGGGTACATACTGTAGCAAGAGATATCGATGTGTGTGTGTGTGTGTTCGTGTGTGTGCAAGCATATTTTGCCCCTGCATAAACACAAACTCTCTCAATGTACATGCCTTTTGTTGCACCCATTGCATCAGGGGAAAGTGGTTGACAACAGGCCCTGACACCTTCTCTGAGAGCTAGCCAAATGTTTCAGAAGCTTCTGGAGTTCCAGCACCGCTGTGTTTGTTCAAGGCAGTTCATCTCTGTCGGCAGATCTAAATTTACAGCACAATAAATTATCACAGATCTGGATCTCTGGCTTGCACACGCACATTGTGGCTTGTCTGTCCCTGGAGGACGGTGTATTTTTAGGGCCTGTGTTGTATTCTGACCTTTCATTAGCTTTATAGATAATGCTACTGGATTTTCATCTGATAATTATCTAAGCAGCCACTCAGGCCTGGTCCTTTTATCCTCAAGGCTACTTAACATGCAGAAATTATGACAGTATCAAATCCATCTACAATATGTCATCCTGCAACAATTCAAATAAAATGTTCATAATGGAAACTGTCCTTGTCAAAAAAATAAAAAAACAGAATTGGTCAGGTGTTCAAACACTTAAAAGACCCGTGTTTATGTTTTCCTCAAAAGCGACCTCTTGTGGCCATGTCAGCTATGACAGATGTGTCTGAGAATTAAAGATGGAAGTAAGGTGACGTCATAGTGCTGTACAAGCTCATATGGAGGAGGTTAGCGTGGATGGCTGGGTGTACAAAGCATCCAACTTTAACACTGGGGATCGCTGTTCTCACCCCGTCTCCCACCAACAGCCAACCCTGGTTTCTTTTGACCAAGATACTGATCTTTACCTGACCTCAACCAAGTAGTTTTATTTGGCTGAATCAGGCAGAGGTCCAGACTGAAAACAGCCCTGATTTAAAAAAACGCAGGGGGGCTGTGTTGGTGGGGGGTTTGTTTAAGGTACTGATGAGAAATATGATCCATGCAGTCCAGTTTGAGTTACAGATTAATGTGTTTAAAAGGCTAATCAGATGTTGAAACACTGTACAACAGTGCAGCGATATCAGACAGGATCTCAACGATCACAGGGTAAACAGCAGATATATGGCATTCACATTTAAAAGTAATCTAACAGGAATGTGTGCTTGCATGTATGATTGGCCAATGGTTCAACTTTTTCGTGAGATGATCAACCCTTTTTTGGCCGAAGCCACTGCCGCTGGCACCCCTGCGCTGCCAGATTGGCTCCATTCAAATGAATAAAGTTGGTCTGAACGTGGCCTCAGATGTAGCAGCCTGCAGTATCTCTATGGGAAGGCCCTACAGACAACGCTGTCCTGCTGATACGGGAACCAGACCAGAAAACACCCACATGGGTCGTTTTATACGACAATGACAAATGAGTTATCATGTTGTTTAGGCTGGAGAAATTGTTATTACTATGAGTTGTTAGTCGAAGACTCCTTTTTATCTTTGTCCTTCTTCCACCTGTCCCTTGTTCATGTTCCCTCAGACCTGCCCGGTGTTGAGTTTGCCCCTGTGTGTCCCATCAGTATGGGAACTTGGCCAGGTCTGATGACAGGCTGTCCTCTCTGCTCCACTCTGCCAGGGGATGGGAATACACGCTGAGCTCATCCCAGGACTGCCTGACTGGTGACAGCCCACAGCATAATCCCCACAGGGGACACATTACTGGGCCATTAGTCCAACTCTTCCCCTTTCAGTGCATGCCTCTGGCTTGCCCTTGGTTCATTCAGCCCACTCCACTTTCTCCCTGCAACTTTCCTTTCAGAAATAATCCTGAGTGATTATAATGTATCAACACAAAAATCAATTGGATTAGTCCAAAACCGCTGCCTCTGTAAATCTCACCTTTATCCCTCCTTCACCCCAGTGCAGCGTTTAAACATAGCAACCCCCGTCAGTACTTTTCCTCTGAGGAGATGGTTGCCAGATTAGAGCTCGTACATCAGGGCAAACTTTTGCTCCAACTGACAAGAAGGCGCTTGACTCTGTTATTGTTTATGAGGAGAAAGCTGGGGTCAAGTTCACAGGCTGGGAGAGAGACAGAGAGAGGGAGAAAGTCTGTTCCAACTCCAGCCCCGTGAGAGAGAGCATAACTCAGCCATGTTTGTGCTTCCCTAATTCCTTTTGATTTAGCAGAAAATTGTGAGCTAAGCTGCACCGCACAAATATTCACCACAGCTTAGCCTCTTTGCCTCACCTCGCGGCCTCTCACAAACCTGTACCCACTCCTGGTCTGTGTGTTTGTGCATGTGCTTGTCTCTGAAAACTTTTAAAAGTGTGTGTGTGTGTTAGTCCCATTCTGACAGCAGCCTAAGCAGAAATACAAATGTCTCTAAAAGGAGCTTAGCTTTAACAGCAGCTTTGGCATAAACACTAGAACTGTTTTCTCAAGCTTTTGATGAAATAACTGCAACTGCTATTGCTAATTCTAATAGTTTCAATTCCGAGAGGGATTTTCCTGATATGTTTACTTGTTTGTTAGTATTACTGGGTCAGCTGAACCAACTGTGGTATTCTTAATCCAATATCACAAACTCCCCAGAGAAGTTCAAGTCTACACTGATAAAAAAAAAAAACCAGTGTGAATTGGTGTCCGTAAACAAATCAAGCCGCCTGTTTTTGAGTTTGCGAAAGGTCTGTGGATACTTAAAAGTGGATTTGAATCTGTCAGGAGCCGTTTGAGGATAGAGGGAAATATCAGAGATTTGATGATCGATGACAGCTCACTGCCAAGCCTGTAGAGAACCTGACGATGCACACACACACGTGGGAAGAAAGGTAAGGATTGTCGCTCTCCAGGGACAATGTACAGTTTGTGTGTGTGTGTGTGTGTGTGTGTGTGTGTGTGTGTGTGTGTGTTGCATGCTTTATTCGAGCACTGTCTCAGCACTCTCCCTCTCTTACACATGTGGTTCATATTTAAGCCATAGTGCTGTTCCACTGGACGATTTTGGCTCTGTTCTTCCAGTCCCACATTCCCAGCTTTTTTCTCTGACTTTCATTTCTGCTGTGCTTTTGTTGGTGCGTAGCTGCAGGTGTGACAAATATTAAAATAAGTGTTTGTTAATAATAATAACTTACACAATGTCACAGTTTTACTTACTTAATTTATATCTTTATTGGGGATGGCACATGTGAATTAATGTTAATATGACGTAAGACGTGCCAGATTTAGCCAAAATCTTATGTGCAGTCCATGGACAGGTTGATATCAACGTTAAGGTCAATGTTATGCAGTAGTATGTGATGGGTGTATGTGAGGACCAGCATGAGGAGCAGAAGAAGTACAATAATATCCAGTAAATATGACAGAGTTGATTCTAATTACTAATCATTGTGAATAACAACAGATGTTACATAAAATTATATGTGTGAATACTAGATCCACTAAACTGTATCCGTGACTGCAATTGATAATTGCACTTCCAACATATTAGTGCAAGTAAGGCATTTGCTCTCTCATTATGTTTCTTTAAAGAAATGATTGCATTTTGCAGCATTTTACATTGCAAATGGAAAGAAAAAACCTTTTTGTCCAAAAAATTCCTTTATAATATAAAAACACACATTTTTCCTGTGATTTAATTATCCAGTTTTACAGGGTTGTAAAATGCAGGCGCCATCATTGGTTATAATAATTCCTGTCTGTGGTTACAGATGAACTCCTCACATTAGGACCTTCTTGACCTCAACAGCAGCATCACCCCTCAACCCAGCACCAATGCACACATGAATGCACCTCTCTCCATCCATCCCTCTTTAATATCTCCTTCCTCGTCAAACTCTGTAACCCCAGCATCTGCCCAATGGGCGAGGGGAGCTGTCAGCAGCAAGCCCTCCCTCATCTCTCTCTCTATCCTCCACCCCTCCTCTCTCTCTCTCTCTCTCTCTCTCTCTCTCTCTCTCTCAGCTCTGACTCTGTCCACAGCGCACTGATAAAGGAGAGGTCCGGTGCGAGCATCCGACCCAGCACAGAATCACACAGCCGACAGAACTGCAGAGAGTCTCCCATCTGCCAACCTTTGGCTCCAGCTGGGATTCGGATCCTATTTCTGCCTCTGAACTAAGCAAAAAACCCCAAGGATAGGTGTTTTGGGGAGCTGACTGGAGAGGTGAGACAGCCGACACTTGTTGCTCGTCTTGTCAGGTAAACCTCCCGTCGGCAGCCAGAAGTACTCATTGGAAAGTCTGGTGCGCACATGGCACAGACAATGCGCTCCTCACACTTCTGACAGTCGCGCTATTAATATGGAGCCACACACTGGATAATGAGGCCTACCTACTGAATGGGTGCTTAACCTACTTCACATCAAACCTTGTCTGACTGATAAAGTTTTCTTCTGAAATCAGAACAATTTTTTTGGCGGGGAGGGAAACTTTTGGTAGTAAAAAAAAGAAAAGAAAAGCGCAGAGCCATGCTGGGTTTAAACAGGATTCTCAGCCTCCGGACAGCCAGGATTCGGAGCTGTGGTTCGCCGGGAGCCAGACTCTCATCCCGGTCTCCTTCATGCCAAAACCCCGGTGCCAGTTCGAGGATTTACTGTGCGTGTCTGTTGCTGCTGCTGGTGGTGACGCCTCGGGCGGACTCTTCATGGTGGTGAGTGTCTGCATCCAGAACACCTAGGCCTACCTGCCTGCCAACAAGATTTATGGGAGCTGAATTTCTACATTTTCTTTGGGAAGACCCGATTAAGAAAATAATAACAACAACAATAATAACAACATATCACTGATAATGATTATGTACTATTGTTGTTGTTAATATTAAATCAATAGTTTAACTGTAAATGGAAGCTAAGCAAAATTCCACACAATTTGAACACTGATCATTGATCTTAATCATTTGAAACGGAGCTGTGAGTACTGCCTGGCTTTGGCTCTTTTGTTAGAAACTTAAGGAATTCACACTGCCAACGAATTTAACTTATGATGCCTATTTTAATAACCGCTTTCCAAAAGAAAAAGCAAAAACCCGTTCCAATTAATTCGGAGCAGCGATTTTCCGACAGCAGACAGACAAGGCCATTATGAGGGTTGAGGGTTTGCATCAGTTAATTTATTATCACTCTATAGCCGACAGTGCTTTTTTTGCTGCTCAGATTTTTTATCATTACTGTTCTTACTTGTGCTTGTTTTATTTACTTTTTGCTGCATAATCTGAACTCAAGAGGTTCATTAAAAAGTTTTATAGGCTATTATTTGTCACGAATGAGTGTATTGCCTTGTATTTTTTATTGGGAAACGACTGCAAAGAAAAACTAAATGTGTTTTTATATCGTCATTTAATTCAAGTCAAAATGATTTGCTCCTGAACAGAGTAAGAGAAAATTATGGAGAATTAATAGTGAAAATAGCATAAATTATGAGTTGGTGAACTAGATTCAAGCTTCTTTAGGATTTTGTTTCTAAAACGCATTTTCCTGCTGTCAGTTTGTTGGCCTGCCATATTGAGCAATAATAATAGAGCGATAAATGTAATTTATGCCGGCGCTGTTGGCTGAGCGCGTGTTCAGCTCAGCTGGAGCCTGTAGTCGACAAGGCAGAGCAGTCATTAATTCACCAGGTACCACACACACACACACACACACACACACACACAGAAATTACTTCACTTAAATACCCCAAAACCAGCCATCTAGAGCATAGGTGAGGGGTGAAAAAATATCTCGTTTGCCTGCGCAATAACATGCGTGAAAATGTCCGTGTGTATGTGTGTGTTTATAGGAGAAGTGTCTGTGTGTGGGCGGGTACGGGGGTGATGGAATGCCTAATAGTTTGTGTAGATTAAAAGCAGTTATGGGGAGTAGTGGGAAGAGTGTGTGTGGAGGCTTTGGCTAAGCATTACTGGCTTTGAGGGGAATTTAGTGTAGGAGATACAGTATTTAACTGTTGATCAGATTTCTGTAGGTGTAGCCTGTAAGTGGTGATATAGGGAGATCTGGAGGCTTCAAATGGATAATGTAATATAAATACATTACATTTTATAATCATAATACAATTTATTATAATATAAAGAACACCCACAGTTTCATAGTATTTGTCAAGTCTGAACAGGCGCAAATAATGTGCACGTTGTTGCAAGTTTGACTTACGTTTGTTGTGTTCCAAGTCTCAAGTGTCAAGACGCTTTTTTGCTTCATGTTTAGCAAATGTATCAAGAAATCCCCAGACTAAAGTGAAATGATTTCTTACTGATGAAGCTTGAGTAAATGATTCGGTTATTAGTGTTTTGTTTTAGTGGATGCGTCATCAGAAGTTCCCTATGTCTCCTACTTGTCCTCCTTCTATGATTCACAGTAGAGTATCAGGGCTTTACAGCATGTTGTTTTAGACCTGTGGATAATGATTGATTATCCTATAAAATCCACAACTCCTCTTGACTCTCAGAGAGAAAAGGAGAGAGAAAATTAAGTGTGAATTGCTGCTCTGGCTCTTTCCTTTGATGAGCACTCTGTTCGTATTCCTACTCCTTTCTAATTCCACTCTGGGGAGCAGAGAGCCTCCAGCCTCCATCCTCTTGCCCGGCCTCGTAAAACACGACCACACAGCTACACGCTCCCTGACCTCCCCTCGATGACCCGCCAAAACCCTAGCAGCCACCGAGCTACAAGAGGCTTCACGCGCGCGCACACATCGTCACGATTAGGTTATTTTTGGGCAAGCTCAAAGCAGCATTTATCTTTACAGGATAATGTAAGAGTCTGTTTTATTGGGGCAGGGGGAAATACTGGAAGAAGCATGGAAGGGGAACTGTGAGTGAGATGAGAATGAGAACAGGCAGAAGACAGAGAGGAGTAAAGTGAGTAAATGGGGTCTTAGTTTGACAGGGTTATTGGAGGCCCTGGACTTTGTGCTCTGATTTGTGACGACATGATTTCAACTAACCCATTGGGAGACATTTAAACACACATACACATGCGGGTCTTGTGGGGAGAGGTTAAGTGCTTATTTATTTGGAAAGTGGAGTAAATGGTTTCCACTCCCCTCCTACTCGCAAACCTTAAACTGTTAAGTGTAGTGAACTCTGACTCATAGAAGACAGTTCCTGCATCTCTCTCTCCTTCATGTCACTCACCACTGCTGAGTGTGTGTGTGTGTGTGTGTGTATATACACCTATCTTATGAGTGAACCGATGTGTACTAATCAATTGCAGCATACCATCAATCACATCTGTGCTTCACACGAATTATATGAATGTGTTTTATGCATCTTCAGGTACATTGGTGCACTGGGGGCCCGTGTGATCTGCGACAACATCCCAGGCTTGGTCAACAAGCAGCGGCAACTCTGCCAGCGCCACCCAGACATCATGCAGGCCATCGGCGAAGGCACCAAGGAGTGGATCAGAGAGTGCCAGCACCAGTTCAGACACCATCGCTGGAACTGTAGTACGCTGGACCGTGACCACACCGTGTTTGGACGTGTCTTGCTACGGAGTAAGTCCATGTGTGTGTCTACAAAATTGTACGCTCGTCTGATTACTGACTGTGTGGCCAGGGAGTACAGATACTAAACCTAAACCTGAGTCCCATCTGCTTCTATCTCCCTCCTCACCCTTCTTCTTCACTTTTACTACCTTATCTCTTCCTTCTCCTGTCTGTCCTTCTCGCCTCGCTCTGTTCTTTCTCCGATCTATCCATCTCATACTCACATATGCTGGTGCTCCATGTTTATAGTCGCTAATGGACTGTTGTAATGCCTTATGGCTCGTCAATAAACACAGGGGCTTCGAGATGTGGGCTTGTCGTCATATTATTTTTCCACTCCTGCAAGATCTCTCTGCTTTGTAACAGATTCATGCCTATACACACATGCACACAGGCGCACATGCATGTTAACATACATATTTCCAACTATCTTTGTAGCCAGTGCAGGCATAATTCCTCCTTATGAAGGGTTTTATAACTGCAGACAGTCTGAAACTTGAGTATTTATTAAATAACCTGATAGCCAAGCTATATTGGTTTCTCGAAATAAGCTGGATATTTTGCATGAAATCTTAAATGATAACTATTCTATAAGCTGTTAATCAAACATTATTTTTGCAATTATGAAGATGATGCAGTAGCTGGTAGAGCTTACTGCCGCATTCTGAATGCAGAGCACGGACGCAGTGATGCACCTGTGAGTCTCTCTGATACTCACTCTGCTTTAACTTTTGCACTTTTTGAGTAAGGCACAATTGTAAATGCTCCATTAACATCTGTCCATTGTAATGTATCTGGACTCAGTTTACGTCACTGACTCTCCTAGGCTTGTAACTGTCCCTCTTCCAGCCACCCTAAGCATGTGTGGGGGCCAATGATGCATGGAAAAAAGTAGCAGATTTGGAGATACAGGCTGCATGTGTGTGTGTGTGGTGGAAAGGAATAAACAGTAATGTAGATGTAAATATTTAGAGATATTCTCACTGTCAGACAAACAGCACAGGTTTGAATGATGACCACCAATGCCCTCCTCCATCCTCCCCCACACACACCCCCTCAACAGCACCCACTGCTCTCCTTTCCTCAACCCAGAGATGGAATGGGACATTCAAGTGAATACAGAGCAAACAGGTTGGATCACACAAACTCTTGTAGCCTGGGTTGATTCAGATGGATTTACAGAGTGTATCTTGTTTTCAGGTACTAGAGTGCCCCACCTTTAGTCATTTAAAATCAATACTATATCAGTTAGTTTTGGGACATTAGTTTGAAGTGCTGGTACTTGAGTATTTCCAGTTCATTAAACTTTATCCTTCATTATTGCTTCACTCGTGGGTTTACATGTTGCTTTGCAGGACAGACTTTGAAAATTCAAAACCAAATTTATTACTATAAAAGAATGTAATGCATTATTATTTCTCCTCGCCTGCAGATTTTGGAATAGTTTCCTACAGCTTTTAAATACTTCTAACAACTTGAGGTTGTGATCAAACTAAAACAATTATGTGTATGACCATGGTTAGAACCTGAGACAGTTGAAAAGAGCCAAGAGACATATGTCTGATGCACCTTTTGTTAACATGCAACTGCGAGCCAACCTAATATAAAACAAGATTAAAAGTCTCACATCCTGTTTACACAGACTGCATCGCGAAAGCACCACGTCCACAGCACAGCAGTTTCGGTCCTCCGTCAGTGTCTTTGGAGGACTGAAGCTAGGATGCGTTCAGTCACAGTGCTGCAGTGTGGTCACCTATGTTTTGGCAGCGTTCAGAGACCAAAGCAAAAACGCATGTGTGAAACGCAGTGAAACGAGTTAATCTTCTGGGGAGCATGAATATGCTTAGCACATTATTCAATAACATCATTATTTAGCTATATTTATTTATTCAATATAACATTTTTAGTAGACGTAGTTGTTTAGTTGTGCTGATGTTCCTTGTGAGTAAGTGTGCACAAGTTGGAAAGGTTGTATGGTCAACAAAACCATCATTCATGCTCTAGGAACCATAAAAGTCCACAGAAAAATGTATAGAAATTCAACAGTTTTTGAGATGATTTGTCATGCTTAAAAGCATTGATTCCAGGTGGTTGTCAGAGGTGAACAAAATGATTTGTATTATGACAAAGTGACTAAAGATGGCATTCTACTATCTTTTGCTGCCATGTTGTAATTTGGGGCATTCATTCCCACAGGCCCTGCAAAAAAGCAACTGTGACCAAACACTATAACTAATTCTCTCACACAATAGATGAGTCATATTCTAAGGAACTAAAGAGACCGGAAAAGCACAGCAATGGTAGAAAATGCTGTCATGACATCACCCTGGCGCTGATTAATGGGGTATCACTGTGTCTGTATTTAAACAATTTATGTGAGCAGAGGAGAGTCCCGCAGCTGGGATTATTTCCATGATAATATTTAAACAGAGCTGTCCTATACTCCACATCAGGCCTGATATGCCCCCGTCAGCTGCACCTTATGTCCTGATGGCTCATGCCCAGGCCTGGTCAAGGCATTATCTGTATCTGTGTATGCATGTTAACATGTGGGCTGCATGATAAGTCTTCAGGTCTTAGAAACTCTACAGTATTGCATGACACAAGTAACTGTCTAATCTCTCTGTATTTTCTTTGTGCCTTTTTTTGTGCCCTCTGTCTCTTTCTCAGGCAGTCGTGAAGCAGCATTTGTCTATGCCATCTCCTCAGCAGGAGTGGTGTATGCGCTCACTCGCGCCTGCAGCCAGGGGGAGCTGAAGACGTGTAACTGTGACCCACACAAGCGTGGACGGGCTAGCGATGAGAGAGGAGAGTTTGACTGGGGTGGCTGTAGTGATAATATCAACTATGGGATAAAGTTTGCCAAAGCCTTCATAGATGCCAAAGAGAGGACTGTTCGCGATGCGCGGGCGCTTATGAACCTTCACAACAATCGTTGTGGCAGAACAGTAAGTGTGTGATAACATCAAATTACCCAAATAATGAAAAACCTTACTCATTTACAGATGTTTGCCTAAGTTTTGATATATCCGCATCTTGGATCCCATTTAAACGATTCCACCTGCATTGTAATTGAATCTCTATATGCAAATCAGGTGGGTGAAGCAGGAAAACTAGTGGAAGATGCAGAGTTGGGTGAATTATCAATTTCAAACAACATAGCCAAATTGTACAGACTGCATTCACATCCTTGCTTGGATCCAATCTCAATGTGAGCCAGAACAACTCCAGGTGAGGTCTGGCCAATTAAATATTTAATCTATAATCATTTCTTCAGTTCATAAAACTGTAAGATGAGCTCCATTTTATCCATCTCAAAACCTTGGCAGATGACACAAGAGAATATCTGCAAAACTAGATACCACATTAGGTACATTAAGTAAGAAATATGGTTTCATGAGAGTTTGTTAAACAAGCCTTTTAAGAAATGTTTCGGCCTTAGTGTTGCTTTTTAGAACATGTGAACCAATATTTCAAGATGGCTAAAACACACAATTCCCACTTCTCTCTATGCATTTAGGCAGTGAAGCGATTCATGAAGCTGGAGTGTAAATGTCATGGCGTGAGCGGCTCTTGCACGCTGCGGACATGTTGGATGGCCATGTCAGACTTCCGGAAGACTGGTGACTACCTGAGGAAGAAATACAATGGGGCCATTGAAGTGACGATGAATCAGGACGGGACAGGCTTCGCTGTAGCAAACAAAGCCTTTAGGAAGGCCACCAAGAACGACCTGGTCTACTTTGAGAACTCTCCGGATTACTGCCTACAAGACAAATCAGCAGGTAAGATGGCAAAGGGAGAGAAGAAGGTGGAGAGGCAGTTTTTCATGGATCTTGATGGATTTCCCTGACTGTCTTATGTTTTAGGGGTGTTATGTGTATGTTGTGTATATGTTCATGCATGACTAGTGTGTTTATGTGTGCAATGGTAGTCAGATAACACAGCAGGCCTCCTGTGTGAGTACTGTGGAAGCTAATATCCTTGTACCCCGGGGACATGGTCTTTTTGTGACCACCTGACCTCTATCAGTCTCTGTCAACACACACACACACACACACACACACACACACACACTCACACACTCACACACACACACACACACATATATATATATATACACAACCCCATGGTCAGAGGATGTGTTTAACACCATTCACCAAATCAGTTCTGACTCTTTCTGCTTGTTGATGGATGAAACACTGTCAGTCAAACTTTTATCACTCAGAAGCTCTGTCCAGTTCTTCCTTGCTCCCTTTGTCAGGCTTCATCCCTACGTCCATCCTCCCCCTCTTTCTCACCTTCCCAGCGGAATCCACAGCCTAGGGACACAAGCAGCCAATTTAAAAAAAAAAAAAAAATCACTTCTTTCTGTCTGTCACAGTCTCTCCCTCTCTGTCTGTCTGAACTAAGCGTAGCTGGAGGGCAGAGTGGGCCTCAGAGTGTGAGAGCCTGTCTGTCTGTCACGCTCCACTGTCCATTTAACCCTCACACACACTCACACACATAGAGTGGCTTCAAAGGGAGCAGTGGCTTGGGAAAGGCAGTGTAACTATAGGCCACTCTACCAACACTGCATAGTTGTGTGTGTGGGTCTGTTGTTCTATGGGCAGCTTGTTGTGATAGGTAGCAGTTCAAACAGGGAGCTTCTCACACGAAACACCAGAACTAATCTCTGTGGGGATGACATTCACATAAGACACAGACAATATGCCACTGCATTAGGTAATAGCCAGACTTCCAAACACTCAACAACAGTGACTAGCATGCTATTGCAGATCAGATATCGAACCAATCCGAAAGCGAAAACTTCTGGGTCTTGTTCCAAAACTCATTTAAAAATAGTAACATTGGCAATAACGCAAATTGCTAAAGGTCATTGTAATGTTCAATTTGGTATTTCTGTTTTTAGCAGCCCCTAACCATTTTAATGCCAGGTTAATGCCATGTTTACATCCTATCTTTTCTTTATAATTATGAGTAGCTGAGCCGTGAAAACTATTCAAGTTAGCCTCTAAGCTGTAATTGTGTCAGAGTTATTGGGAATTTCTTACAGCTATGCAGCTTTCACTTCAGACAAGTCAACAAACCACTGGCAACATGGCTACAAAGTCACCATCGCTTGCAAGTAAACAAAACCCATCTTAAAACTAACACAATCCATTCAGCTAATTTAAAGTCTCTATACACAAACTGTTTTTATCTGGTTTTATTTTGTCAACAAAGTAACACAAGTAGCTAATTTAAAATATTCAAATGCTGTCACTATACCCTCTTCATATGATGCCTGAACACTCCCAAGTAAGAATAATGGGAGCTATTCCTATTCTTCCCATTCTGTCAACATTGCCTGAAAGCAGCATAAATGTCACCAGTTGAACAGTGAGTTATGAAAATGGACAGGCAGGGCAAAATGGTATAGTAACCCAGAAACACATTTCACAGTTTCACAAAAAGTAACCCTCAATTAGAGATTGCATTAAGTTACAGACGCTAGTGGAACAGCAGCTAGACTAGGGCTGCGACTCATTATTGCTGGCCTGCCGAATGTTTTTTCAATTAACAGATTGTTTGGTCCATAAAATGTCAAACAATGGGGAAGCCCAAGGTAACAAATTATGTGTTTTGTCCCAACCCAAACCAGAGATATTCAGTTTGAGCACTTGCTGATTCATTTTTTATTTGATTTGATCGATCTATAGAAATAACCTGCCACTTCTTGTTTTTTTCTGTAGAAGAATTGATAGAGAAGTACAACTCAAAGGACCAGTTAAGAAGAACTTTTAGCTCTCATTAGCTAACTATTCTGTACTCTTGTGCAGGCTCCCTGGGTACGGCTGGGCGGGTCTGCAATAAGACATCACGTGGCACAGATGGCTGTGAGGTCATGTGCTGTGGGCGGGGCTACGACACCACAAGAGTCAAGCAAATCACCAAGTGTGAGTGCAAGTTCAAATGGTGCTGCGCCGTGGAGTGTAAGGACTGTGAGGAAGCTGTGGACATTCATACATGCAAAGCCCCCAAACGAGCTGAATGGTTGGACCAGACCTGAGGACACGCCCCATCCGCCCCCTGTAATGCAGCCCCACCCCTTTCCCCTTTACAGGACATCCTGTGGAACATGGCATTCTGGGAAAGTTTGTCCGAAAGTGCTCTGCATCTCCGCCCTCTCCTGCCCCCATCTCGGTTCATCATTGCATGGCTTTTCTACCTGTCTCTGTGAAAGCACTAGAATTCAGTACCCATCAATATGAATTATTACCCATTAGCCCCTGTTTGTGAATGGCCCTGTGACTGAACTGCTGGGATCAGATGATGAACGGTGAAACCAGTGAACACTTTGGGGTTTGGGCGGATTGGGCTTTTATCAAAGATTCAGTCCAGCAGTCTTTTTACTAGTGTGTGGTTCTGGTTTAAAAATGGTTTGCTGCTTTCATGATGCTTTAAAGACACATTTTTACATTAACTGAGCCTTCAAACATATCCAGTATTATTACAACAACATCATATACTCACATAGTTTTCTTTTTTTGGGGGGGAAATACACTTTTATCTACCAAAAACAAATACTTGGTTGGACTTTGGGAAGTAGCTTGACAAGTGCCCTTTGAGAAGTGGACATCTAAGCGCAAGCTTGGCTCTGTGTGGCCAAACAGAAGTCCAGGCAGAGGACTACAAGGGAGGACAGGGAGATGGACACCAAATGAATAAATGGACGGATGCGTCATTGGAACTTTGAATGCAACTGTAAAAAAAAGAAAAGAAAAAAAAAGAAAAAGTTGTTAAACGTGATTTATTTAAATTGTAAAGTGTTGCTTCATTTCTCATCTGCGGATGAGACTGCACTACATTGGCTGACACGATGAGAGAGAAAAGCACTCCCATTATTATACAGTGTACTCTAGTTTTCAGTGTGTAAGACGACGAACTGCTGCTGACAAGTAGAAGAAGAAGAAGAAGAAGAAGAAGAAGAAGAAGAAGGAGGAGGCTTGGACGGTCATTAAGTCACACATAACCACAGCATCAGACAGATTTGACTTCTCTGCTCTCCAGCTTGCTTGTATAACATTGTGTATATTACCTTATCTAAACAGATGTTCATATGAAATATATGGTGCATTAGTATGACACTGGAATCTTTGTTTTTTGTTCAGACAGACAAACATGGAGGTTGAAAGCAAGAAAGAGACTAGATAGTGCCGAAAGAGCAGAACTAGTGTGTCAGTGTGACCGTGCAAAACAGTGAGTAAGTTCTGCTGGACCTCTGTCGTAACCTGCCGTGTTATTCCCATCACACACACACACACACACACACACACACACACACACACACACACACACACACACAAAATCGCTGCTCCTCACCAGCATGAGTTGAGAGACACCGGGGCAGTAAGAATACAATCTATGTTAGTAACAAAGGCTGATTCAGTGTGAGTAGGGGTGGGGTGAGTTATATCAGTCAAGGGGAGGGAAGTGTTTGATTAAAGGCCCAACCTAAACCCCAACCCCTGCTGGCCTCATCCCACCCCTCGCTATGTGGAATTCCAGGTGGGTCCCAGGCTAATGACTAGATGGCTGTAATTACCTGGGGCTGTTGATAGCTGGTGATTGGACATGGTCGTGCCACAGAGGACCTAGTGTGGGCTCCTGCTGGGACCACATTTAATCAAAGGCTTCTTGGCCGGCTTATCAAAGGGAATACTTTCCAGCAATCTTCTCTGCCTCAGCCCCCTCCGCTCCCCAGACCCTCAGTCCAGTTCAGTCTCTGTTACATTAGAGCCCAGAGACGCCTGATAATGTGGATTCAAAAAGGATATCGCACACAAGCGCAAACTTAAGACAAAAGCAATGTGTAAACCCAACTGCATTGGAAAGGCCAAATGATACAGCATTAATGCATTGCCTTTTAACTCAGCAAACCTGTATTGTCTTATGAATCTACTGAGTTTTCTGTTTTTTCTCACTCTGTGCACTGTGTTGGTCAATGAGTCCTGGTGATAAGATCATCTCTCCTTGCCCAGGCTTGGGACAGGATGCAGCGATGTTCAGGCCTGATTGGAAACACCAAACACAGGAAATGTAAGGTATCTGCACTGGAGATACCTTAATGCAGGAAGCAGACGCAAACTCAGATACAGCTATTCAGATGACAATACCATATCATAAAAGTTGTTAATGAATTAACGTTAGGCCACTCATGATTCACCTTTCAGTCTACCAACCTCATTTGCCCCAAAAAGAGCTCTCAACATCCTAGAAGTGGGCTTTTAATAGCCATGGGAGGCCCATATCGTTAGATAAGATAAGCTTTATTGTCCCTCAGGGTAATATTATCAAGCAATTCCAGTCATTGAGCCTATTCTAGTGCCAGGCTCCTGTGGCAGATCTATCTGTGTCCTGGATACCAGGCTGAGAGCATTCCTGTATCACAGGCAAACTATTAGTCTTCACAGCTGGCAGGCAGCATTGTGGGCCAGGGAGTACTGACCAAGGGCACAGAAATGGCATCAAGCACAAGAGGTTTAAAGAATAATTCCAGTTTACCGCAACTTGGTTACTTTTTTGTTAGTCTAACAATACCAGACAATCCAAGATCTCAGTGCCTAGCAATCGTCTGTGAATTTCTAAGTAGCTGCTTGGCCAGAATGGCTGCTAAGAAAAGACCAGCGACAGCAACCCTTACTTTAAAGGACACACCTTACTTAAAACAGTGCTGAATAGTGAAACACTACCGCCATGTCACCACCCTAAAGACTCTGGATTGGTTCTGCGATGCAGGTTTTTTATGCTCTCTACTTGTTTCCACCCAGTTTTGGGAACAATGGCTGAGAAAAAGTCCCTCAGTCTCTATTGAGCAAAACGTTTAGACACTTTTGAGTCTAGGTTCAGTTCAGTTTTATTGGCCAAGTTAAACAGAGATATGGGAATGAGAGTGGTAAAAAGAAGTCAGAGACAAGCTGTCAGAATATCATACAGGTTTGAAACAGACCCCTTAGGTGAGACTTGTATGTTGTAAGAAAACATACAAGTGAACAGTAAAATGACCTTTGTAAACGTCCATCACAGTTTACAGACCGACTTCATGGTTCATCTTTGACCTTCAGTACTTGTGGTAGTTGTGCATCCACAAAGTTTTCCAGTGCAATGAGGGATTATTATGTTATTACAGACATTACAGGTGCACTAACTTGGCTTTACCTCCAAATAAAGTGGTTTAGACAATCTATTAGCTTGTTCACAACCTATTGACTTCTCCCAATTAATTTTCATTTTCAGATCCCAGTAATTAATCTGGAGGGTACAATGTTATCATAACTAGTAGAAACAATAGTCAAAACTACATAATAAGACCCAAATTGTAATAAATCAGAATTATCCTTTAAATCCACAACAAGGCCAAGTAATCTGAGTGGGACCATTTCTCAGAGAGCAGCTTTGTGTTAAAATCACAGGCACATGTAGTTCAGACCAAACTGTGATACACTGACACACACATTGCTGCAGTATCTTTGGACTGTTAGCTACGCAGACAGCGTACATGGCCCCAATTATTTATTCAACATCATCACAGCTATTCTCAACTGTGTCACCTGTGTTGTTTTTAGTTTTTTTTTTTTACATTTGTTCTATATTCTCTCTCTGTCTCTGTATGGCAGTCATGTAGATTTATCAACGTTATGTCCAGGCTGTAATGCATGTCAGTCTGATCTCTGGTTGCCAAATGACAACAACCCTGAGAATAGAGGATGAACTTCACTCCGACAGGACTGGGCCAATTGAGAGGTAGAAATAAAGGAGAGGTGTGAGACAGAGAGAAGGCAGACAGCTAGTCAAATGGATGGATGAAGGTAAGAGAAATGTATAGGGTTACTAACAGACCTAGCGGGCATGTTTATCAGCAGATCTTAATCTGAGCAGAAAGAACCGCGTTCCCCACAATTCATCATCATTACTCGCCCCACCTGCCACCTCCCTCCACATGCCCCTGCTCCTTGCCTCGGATATAGCCTTCTGTGGGAATCTAGCTGGAAACCCCACCAACAATTGCCCGATAACATTCACCTTGGGGTGGTCCGGGTGTCAGCCATACGATCTGTTTCACACACATATTCGCTTGTACATACCTGCAGGCTAGGATAGGACCCCTTTAGTGCCCCCTGAGCTCACCTATCACCTGTCTGGTTAAACCCCCAGCATGTTAGCAAGCATTTCTACTCTGTCACTCACTGTTTGTGACCAGAAAGTGCATGCAAACATACAAGTGTGTGTGTATGTGTGTGTGTGTTTGTGTGTGTAGTTTGATGAGTTTACCCCTCAGGGCTGGTAGAGCCTGAGTCATTTTTCCCCCCGGAGGTTGGAAGGGGAGTCTGGCGGGGTCAGGGGTCATAAGGTTTAGGTGTATCAACAGAAAACCTTCAGCCCTATGAACGACCACCGCTGATCCGTCGCCTGTTGACACCTCCTAAACATTAACGGCTTGCTCATGTAACTAAGCTCTGAACACCTGCTGCACTGGATTAAAATCTGGCCTACAGTTTAGCTGCCTACAGTGTCAACTCCTCCATTCATCTTTCATCCATTCGCTCTGCCTCTATCTGATGGGGTGGGTGTCAGCCATTAGGTATTAGGTGGTGCAGCTTTGTTGGGAACAGGTTTGGGTTGGAAGGCTGTGGGAGCAGTAGGAGGTGCAGATTTATTAGGGAGCTCAGACTAATATTTACTTGACCTACCAGGACCTGTGGGGTGTAGAGACAGAGAGGGAGAGAAAGTATGGGTACAAATTGCGGCGTCTGCACTGAGGGAAAAAGGGGATTATGACATAAAACACTTATCTTCTGCGACTTGCAGCGGGATAATGTCCACCCTTAACCACCCCCAACCCCTTGTAGCCCAGTCCCTCAACCTTAACTGCCCCCTTTTGCTATAATGGTCCACAGCAACACATTTTGATAGACATCATATGTACCTCTAAAATATAACAGCAACAACTGCCTATCTCGTTTGAAACGTAACTCAAAATATTGGTCCAACAGGCAACTGGCTGCCAAATCAATTCTTTGATCTAGCATGTAAGGAATTTTCCTTATAATTCTTCTGCATTGGTGGAGCAGTATTTCAGCACTCACTGTTGCATGTAAAACATTTCCGGTGCTTCTATAATTGCTCCAACTACTGACACATACAACCACATGCAGGTTGACCTCAATGAATTTTCCGTGAGTAGAAAGCCTGTGTGACCTGACACAGCACCAATTTGTCATCCCTAATTTATCTGTGATATAACTCACTCACTGCTAGGCCAGAAGTCAAGCTTAGCGTTGCATAGCAGAATATCCCGCAGGTTCGGCTCACAGACAGCCACTGTGAGGGTTAAAGGACAAAGAGTGTTGGTGCCTGAACCTGAGTCAGACATTTAGACAGTTAGCTGCAGTGAATTCTTCGCCGTACAAGGTGTGGGCTGTCATGTGATGAGGTTTGTATATGTGTGTGACAGTGTGAGTGTGTTTATCTCCCTCCCTGTGTGGGAATTTACAGACACACCTCGCAAGGCACAAACAACAGTGACCTGAAAAAATAGTCAAAATTCCACCAACATACCAGGGAATCAGGGGGTTTGGGCTGACACTGACAAACACAGACAACGAGAGACAGAGGTGTGGGAAACAGGAGAGATACAGGGTCAGGGTCAAATTGTGTAGGCCTCACAGACATAGATACCAGTGAGTGATACCAGCTGACACACACTGATGCTGACACTAACATTGATACCATGGCTACCTGAGTGACATTGATAGATAGTGCTCAGCCATCCCAGTGTGAACACACAATCAAACCAAAACTCAACTCATCCCTGTCACTTTTAATCACTACATACCGCGCCAAAGGGTTGTCTCCTCAAACCTCTGCCATGGGAGGAAAAAAATCAGTGTACATACCACCTTAAAATAAGAATCGTTGTGTTTTCGTTTCCTTGGAATGAGCCAGCTTCATCAACAGAAGAAGCGGGTCCTCTTCCGGAGGCCACCACGTTGAACTGTTTTTACTGTAGCCCAGAATGGACAAACTACACACTGGCTCTAGATAAGGCGTTTCACATTTCTTTGCGATTTTCACGGCCACCGTAG